CGATTACAGGACGGGGCTGTACAGTATCACGATTACAGGACGGGGCTGTACAGTATGACGATAACAGGACGGGGCTGTACAGTGTAGGGGCTGGTTAGTGTGACGATAACAGGACGGGAGTGTTCATTGTGGCGATTATAGACTGGGAGTAGCTTATGACGATTACAGGACGGGGCTGTACAGAATGACGATTACAGGACGGGGCTGTACAGTAGGACGATTACAGGACGGGGCTGTACAGTATGACGATTACCGGACGGGGCTGTACAGTGTGACAATTACAGGACGTGGCTGTACAGTGTGGGGGCTGACTAGTGTGATGATTACAGGACGCGGCTGTACAGTGTAGGGGCTGACTAGTGTGAAGATTACAGGACGGGGCTGTACAGTGTAGGTGCTGTTTAGTGTGACGATAACAGGACGGGAGTGTTCATTGTGGCGATTATAGACTGGGTCTAGCTTATGACGATTACAGGACGGGGCTGTACAGTGGGACGATTACAGGACGGGGCTGTACAGTATGACGATAACAGGAGGGGGCTGTACAGTATGACGATTACAGGACGCGACTGTACAGTATGACGATTACAGGACGGGGCGGTACAGTATGACGATTACAGGACGGGGCTGTATAGTATGACGATTACAGACCGGGGCTGTACAGTATGACGATTACAGGAGGGGCTGTACATTATGACGATTACCGGGCGCGACTGTACAGTGTGACAATTACAGGACGGGTCTGTACAGTGTGGGGGCTGACTAGTGTGACGATTACAGGACGGGGCTGTACAGTATGACGATTACAGGACGGGGCTGTACAGTGTAGGGGCTGTTTAGTGTGACGATAACAGGACGGGAGTGTTCATTGTGGCGATTATAGACTGGGACTAGCTTATGACGATTACAGGACGGGGCTGTACAGTATGACGATTACAGGACGGGGCTGTACAGTATGACGATTACAGGACGGGGCTGTACAGTATGACGATTACAGGACGGGGCTGTACAGTATGACGATTACAGGACGCGGCTGTACAGTGTGACGATTACAGGACGGGACTGTACTGTTTGAATTTGTATTATTTTACTTTTTGTTTTTTTAGATTTGACGTGAACCACAGTTAATCTAGCGAAGACTGGAAAATCTTGATAATAGTTCTCCTTATATGTTATCGATTTTGACAGATTGAAATGTGAATGTATTCCCACCAGCGCGCCATTTATGTATCATAAGACCTTATTCGGTCAATCAAGACATTTTTATGACAGAGCTTTCCTTGGTTATAGGGAACTCGCTATAGAAATAGACACGTTAGGTGAAAGATAAGTAATTCCAGTTGCCACTCTAACTTTCCACTTTCACCGCGATTTTTTGTAGACGGTTGAAGTGCGATGCTTCATCAGTGAAATAAAATGTGGTCTGTATCTCAGACAATGCGTTTGTGTACCTGTATACTGTAATTACGTAACCTCGATGATAAAACACGTGATTTATGAACCCTGCTAGTGTGTAGTCACGTGTCTAAATCAAGGAGTGCAACTCTAATTAAAACTTATTTTATACGTTCACTACACACCGCATGTACATGAACATGTACATCCAAGTTTCCTCCACGCGGTACAAAGGTGTAACGTGGAATCACGGTCAACCGTGGAGTAGGGAGAACGTACCGGTGAAATGTACGCTCGCCTATACTACCGCTCCACGCTCACGCTACGTTCGCAGCAAACGTGTATAGCCGGTGGAGAGTGGATGGGCTATTCTCCACGCTGGAGAGTGGAGTTGACTTTTTTTAAACCTCCCCTCCACGCTATAGAACGCCACCGCGAAACGTGGGGATCGTATGCCTCCACGCGGTGTGTAGTGTAGGTACAAATATTGCCATAAGTTGTAAAACTTCAGCAAATAAAGAACTTGAACTTACTCTTGAACAAACATAAACATCACTTTTACACTCCGTACTAGAATGATCCATTTTAATCCATACAATTGTATCATGTTTTATATTTACTATATTTATATCATAAACAAGATTGTTTTTCGTTATAGAAATTGCCATTCCATCTCCCTGTTTATGTCTCGAAAGAGACCTACATATATATTTACATGTGAAATCTGCGATCGGTATATCTACATCCTTATCAATCAACATTCTGATAAACAAACAATATCATATGTTCGTAAAAAAAAGGGGGGGGCGGGGTTGAACTCCTTCCCGTTTATAAACAGTCTGTCCTTCACGAGACGAACTTTCTGTCCGTTTTTGCGAGCCCTCTTAAATATAAACTGTATAGAAGACCTTTGCGGGACTAAGGAGCAGCTTTCCGCACAAGTTCACGTTCCTTGAAATAAGTGAAACGCGCAACAATGGTCCTAGGATTCCATTCCTGATCTCTAACTCGCGCACTGGGTCCTGGGTCGAAGTTCGAGTCTTCGTTCCTTCTGTCATGATGTGAGTTACGCTTTGGACCGATTCGATGCATCCGATCAAACTTTATATCTGCCGTGACCTTCATCTTGTTGTGTGTGAAGGTGGTAACTAGCCCCTCACAGTCCTCCTCCTCCTCCTCATCCTCCGGGTTCCATAAAATAAGAGGTTCTGTCTCATTAACCTACATTTGAGGTCTGTACGCTCCATCCTGAGGTTGTCACCACTATTGCCAGGTGGGGGTAATGAGTTAATACTCTCCTCGACTACTGAAACCTTCTTCTTTAAATCACTGACATCTTTCGAATTGTTCTTGACATCAATATTGAGACCATAAAATAAATTAGATACTCCGGATAGATTGATATCCATCTCCTTCATACTGTTTGACATCTTGTTATGATCATAATGGAGTTTGCTAACAGAACTGTCACATGACAGGTATACTCAAGTCAAGTCAATTTTGTTTATTATAGTGTCATATATCACAATTACATCGTACAAGTATATAGCTACACAGTATAAAAACATATAGTTACATAACAGGGATCAATCATGATTGCTCCCTGTTATGTAACTATATGTTTTTATCTTGTGTAACTATATACTTGTACGATGTAATCGTGATATGGGCTATATATTTTTAAAAATATATAGACCATATCATAATTTTGTTAAGAACAGCTATTATACATAATAAATTAATAAATCAAAACACTTACCTGTATGTAACAGTTGTACTGGACCTGGTGAGAACAAAACCCAGTTCACAGCGATAATTGGATAATTACTGCCGATAGTCACCTGTACATACAGTGTAACAGGTAGACTTACCTGTATAACTACTGTATAACTACACACACAGTCCTCTATTGTAACAGTTGTACTGGGCATGGTAAAAACACAGTACGCAGCCATTGTGAAAAAACGATACATTTTCCAGTTGTTTTAATTAAAAACGTTATGTTTCGTTTTTACCTGTTAAATTATAGGCATAAATTTCAGTTTTTTTTCTTCAATTTTTCGAATATTACAATCTTTCATTATTAATTACATTTTATTATATGTACGTAATCAATGAATTATCAAATAACTAATCACAGTTAAGTAATATGTAAACATACAACTCACAATAAATACATAACACTTGTTGTTTTAAATTTATCTAAATTTGTTACAATTTAATGATGAAAAGTTAACTTGTTAAATAAAACTGACAGTAGGTATTTTACTATAAAAATATATTAATTAGAGACAGAATGATAAATATGAAATAAAAAAAAATTGCTATTGATTAGGAATATTCATAACATTTAATGTAAATAAATATTAAAAATAAATTTTGTGGCAATTATTTATTACACAGTGAAATGCATAGTTCTACAGGTAAGTCCATACGAGTTACTTCCCTTTCAATGCATATAGTGCAAGAGCAGCCAGATTGCATATTTTTATCGACGTATTTCGGTACTTTGCACTATTACGATCGAGCTCAAATTTTGCACTTAACTAGGTAATTGAATATAATTTATATATCCGAAGACAAAAAAATCAAAAAAAATCTATTAACGAATACCTAGGCGCGCGAAAACCTACCTGGACACTCGTACCTCCTCATAAGCATGATGCAATTTATTTATCGGCGTATTTCGATACTTTGTCTTGTTACGATCAAACCAAAATTTTGCACACCGCTAGATATGTGAATATAGATAATGAATCAGAAAAAAAATGAAATAAATAAAATAACGAACTCATGGGCGCGCGAGAACCTCCCTGGACACTATTTCCTCCTTCGTAAACATAATATTTATCGACCTATTTCGGTTCTTTCTACTGTTACGATCGACCTGAAATTTTGCACAGACTAGGTTAGTGCTTACTTTATATGAATCAGAATAAAAAATTAAAAAAATCTATTAACGAATTCCTGAGAGCGCGGAAATCTCCCTGGACACTCATTCCTCCCAAATAGGCATCTTTATCGACGTATTTCGGTACTTTTCTATTACGATCGACATTAAATTGTGCATACAGCTAGGTAAATGTATTAAATGTATGAATCAGAAGAAAAAAATAAATAAAAAAAAATGACAAATTCCTGGGCGCGCGAAAACCTCCCTGTACACTCATTCCTCCCTGGACACTCATTAGGATCACCCCATATTTTAAAGTATTAAACGCTATTGCTGTGGCGGTGTCCTTCATTTTGGATGCATCTGAACTATATGTTTAAAAATCCTCACCCTCGTTGCAGAACAAATACTGAAACTACCTTCAATCAAATTATTGCACTTTCAAAATATTCACCAGATGACACCAGATTGTCGATCCTTTGGGTTGGGACAGGGGACATACCCTCTCAGTCTGACCCTTCATAACGGTAAAATATTTAGGAACATCAGAAATTGATTGATTAATAAGTTTTACGTCCGCTTCACTACCGAGTAGTTCGGTTATCCAGCAGACTACATCGGAAAATGAATACATCCCTTATGTAGCCCCACCATAAGGGAATCCGGATGTAACTTTTTCCATAGGATGTGACGTCATATATATGACGCAGCTGACGGGATTCCCCTCTGGACACCGACACAGAAACTGATATCAGCTATTAAACGTTGTACTATGATCGGTAAACGTTCCAGTTAATGACCTGATACGATAACATATACACACACCGCAGTGTGAAGAAAATCGTACACTTTGCCTGCAGCTAACAACCAACACAGACATGGAACGTATGCAGGTTGTATTCGGGCACCTGCCCAGGAGTGTCCAGCTGTCCCCAGTGTCCGGAGCCGGACGTTTTGTGGACAGGCCAGACGATATCGTCGTGATCTCGGCACTTAGGACGCCCATAGGCAAGGCAAACAGAGGGTCATTCAAGGTATAGATGTTCATGGCTGCTTCTGTCAGGTCAATATCTGAGACACATAAAAACTGATAAAAGAAAATCAGCTGATAATAGTCACCCACTGATCATTATAGTTGATCACTGTACCACATCGACCTGAAAATATGTTGTAGCTCATAATTGCCATATATTAAAAATACTTTTTTTTTTTATAGTAATACCCGTATTATTTTTTTTTATCTCAAATTACAGTCAGAATTTTAAACATCTTCGGAAAAAAGAACACTTTTAAAATGGCATCTTTTGAGCTGTTCTTCAGGTGAAATCATCAGATCTTAGAAAATAGAACAGTTCAGCAAATTGCCTGATTGTAAATACTCAATTTTAGGGTCCAAAATGAGGAATATCTCCCTGCTAATGCTAAACAGGGAGAGTTGGCAGGTTTATGTTACACATTGACTTCGTTTGGACATAACAAACTGATGTGTTCAGGGTAATATAGAGTTTTTACCAAAACTTAATCTAAACCCATAAAACGTCTAAATATTGGTCCAAACACAAACTAGTCATACTATAACAAATTCTCAGGTCCCTGTGACTGATACAGCTGGCAATAAGTTTGATATCACAGAGCTAAAGAATGTAGATCCTTTAAATTTAAATTTATTCAAATTTAGAAGGTACCCACATAACAGGTACCTAACCATGCAGGCATCTGCATATGAAATAAATTATAATAGGGTGTGGAAGATCCTTTCATATTTTTACATATATAATACATACTGTACCCAAGGCTGTCTGTGCTTTAACCTCTATTTTACACATTGTACATTGTTTGTCATAAATTGATTTACTTAAAATTATTTAAATTATTATTAAATCATTAACTATCCTCTTCATTTCTTATAACTTTTATAAAATAAATTAAATGAAACATTTGTTTTTTTTCCAGGTTTAAGGTTTTTGTATTTGTGTGTGAACTGTTAAAATAAGAATTTAATGATGCCACAAAACCAGTATGTATAAATTGAAGGGATATTTATATATAGGTCTTCGTTGTCTTGTCAGGATTTTCAAAATTTCAGTTAGGTTAAGACCGGAAAAATCCCCTAAATCCTTCATTTAAATACTGTGTATATGGTTATTAGAAATTCAGTTAATCCTTGGTATTTTCGAAATTATTATTTTCTGTAGATAGAAATAATTCATGGTACCTTGCATTGTCTTAACACTTTTAACACTGTAGACCATAATGGACTCATCCAGATCAATTTATGGTAGAGGTTATTAAAGTTACACAGGAGTGAAAGGATTAACCCTTTCACCACTGTAGACCATAATGGATTCATCTAGATCAATGAATGGTAGAGTCTACTAAAGTACATAGGGGTGAAAGGGTTAAACAACAATTCTCCTGTTTTCTCTTTTATTTTTTTAGAATTTTGTGTATTGTTAGGTCCTACTTGTTATAAACTATCCATAGAAAATGCTGGAAATCGAATTTGATTTTGCTACAAGCAAAATCTACAACAGCTAAAGAAAAACATTTAGATTTTGGGGATTTTGCTCATCAAATGGTGAAGAAATATATCTTAAGTTTCATTGTGATGGAGGCCAAAATTAAATAGAAAATGGAAAAAAAACACTGTAATGGTATGAATAATTAAATCTGAAAATATTTTCCATCTCTCAGGACACCTATGCAGATGACTTGCTGTCTGCTGTTATTGGTGGTGTAATGAAGGAGAGTGGGGTCACTCCACAACAGATTGGAGATATCTGTGTAGGTATGTATCAGAAAGGCCGTTTACTATATAAAGTGGCTTCAAGGGTCTACAAGTGGCGCAGTGTTAATTAGCTTGCTCACCTTTTACCAAGAAAAGACACATTATTCATTTTGTCTCCACTCCTGTTCTGTGTTATAGGACAATAACATGCTGAAATAGCTATCACTTCTATAGTTGATTTCAATATAAATACAGTCACCCTCTATTTGACCTTGACCTTCAAATATACTTAGTATTGTCTTATTAATGTTATTTAAGTGACACTTTAAGCTGACCTAATAATGAACACCTTCTATAGTTGATTCATCTCTATAAAATCTGACTCTTCCTGTGGTTGACCTCCATTTCTATATTGTTGACCTCTATATAACTGTCACTTTCTATAGTTGACCTCTATATAACTGTCACTCTATAGTTGACCTCTATATAACTGTCCTTCTATAGTTGACCTCTATATAATTATCACTCTATAGTTGACCTCTATATAACTGTCACTCTATAGTTGACCTCTATATAACTGTCACTCTATAGTTGACCTCTATATTACTATCACTCTATAGTTGACCTCTATATAACTGTGACTCTATAGTTGACCTCTATATAACTGTCACTCTATAGTTGACCTCTATATAACTGTCACTCTATAGTTGACCTCTATATAACTGTCACTCTATAGTTGACCTCTATATAACTGTCACTCTATAGTTGACCTCTATATAACTGTCACTCTATAGTTGACCTCTATATAACTGTCACTCTATAGTTGACCTCTATATAACTGTCACTCTATAGTTGACCTCTATATAACTGTCACTCTATAGTTGACCTCTATATAACTGTCACTCTATAGTTGACCTCTATATAACTGTCACTCTATAGTTGACCTCTATATAACTGTCACTCTATAGTTGACCTCTATATAACTGTCACTCTATAGTTGACCTCTATATAACTGTCACTCTATAGTTGACCTCTATATAACTGTCACTCTATAGTTGACCTCTATATAACTGTCACTCTATAGTTGACCTCTATATAACTGTCACTCTATAGTTGACCTCTATATAACTGTCACTCTATAGTTGACCTCTATATAACTGTCACTCTATAGTTGACCTCTATATAACTGTCACTCTATAGTTGACCTCTATATAACTGTCACTCTATAGTTGACCTCTATATAACTGTCACTCTATAGTTGACCTCTATATAACTGTCACTCTATAGTTGACCTCTATATAACTGTCACTCTATAGTTGACCTCTATATAACTGTCACTCTATAGTTGACCTCTATATAACTGTCACTCTATAGTTGACCTCTATATAACTGTCACTCTATAGTTGACCTCTATATAACTGTCACTCTATAGTTGACCTCTATATAACTGTCACTCTATAGTTGACCTCTATATAACTGTCACTCTATAGTTGACCTCTATATAACTGTCACTCTATAGTTGACCTCTATATAACTGTCACTCTATAGTTGACCTCTATATAACTGTCACTCTATAGTTGACCTCTATATAACTGTCACTCTATAGTTGACCTCTATATAACTGTCACTCTATAGTTGACCTCTATATAACTGTCACTCTATAGTTGACCTCTATATAACTGTCACTCTATAGTTGACCTCTATATAACTGTCACTCTATAGTTGACCTCTATATAACTGTCACTCTATAGTTGACCTCTATATAACTGTCACTCTATAGTTGACCTCTATATAACTGTCACTCTATAGTTGACCTCTATATAACTGTCACTCTATAGTTGACCTCTATATAACTGTCACTCTATAGTTGACCTCTATATAACTGTCACTCTATAGTTGACCTCTATATAACTGTCACTCTATAGTTGACCTCTATATAACTGTCACTCTATAGTTGACCTCTATATAACTGTCACTCTATAGTTGACCTCTATATAACTGTCACTCTATAGTTGACCTCTATATAACTGTCACTCTATAGTTGACCTCTATATAACTGTCACTCTATAGTTGACCTCTATATAACTGTCACTCTATAGTTGACCTCTATATAACTGTCACTCTATAGTTGACCTCTATATAACTGTCACTCTATAGTTGACCTCTATATAACTGTCACTCTATAGTTGACCTCTATATAACTGTCACTCTATAGTTGACCTCTATATAACTGTCACTCTATAGTTGACCTCTATATAACTGTCACTCTATAGTTGACCTCTATATAACTGTCACTCTATAGTTGACCTCTATATAACTGTCACTCTATAGTTGACCTCTATATAACTGTCACTCTATAGTTGACCTCTATATAACTGTCACTCTATAGTTGACCTCTATATAACTGTCACTCTATAGTTGACCTCTATATAACTGTCACTCTATAGTTGACCTCTATATAACTGTCACTCTATAGTTGACCTCTATATAACTGTCACTCTCTATAGTTGACCTCTATATAACTGTCACTCTCTATAGTTGACCTCTATATAACTCACTCTCTATAGTTGACCTCTATATAACTGTCACTCTCTATAGTTTACTTCTATATAACTGTCACACTCTATATAGTTGACCTTGACCTACATATAACTTGGACTTTCTGTAACTGACCTCAATATCACTGATAAATTCCATATTTGACATCCATATAAAGGTATATACTCTTTATGTGGAAGGTTTTCGAAATATGTTTTTGTGAAAATGTATGAAAATAACTTTTTATCAAAATTCTTCATGAACAACCTTCCACTGTCAATGACTTTGAAGAGCTATTTTATTCCACATATGTATATTTTTGTACAGAAATAGAATTTTAATATTTTACATTTCTATTTTCCATTTCAGGCAATGTAAATGATTCAAAAGCAGCTTTCACTGCCAGAGTCGCCCAGTTCTATAGGTATGTATACCTATACTGTATAGTTCCGTATTTCTCCTGTTTATAAAGTCAGGGTACTTATCAGTAAAGGTACAATGAAACATGTCTTATCTAACCCCTGAGTATATATACATTTTGACAATCCATCTTATCCAATGAGCACTGCCAAGTAAGACCTGTATATTCTGAATCCTGTCTAATCTGACCACTTTGTTGTGCCACAAAGGGTGCCTGACCACACAGGTTTCACTGTAGTAAAATGGGCAACGACTTATATGAACTATTTCCATGCCAAATTTCCTTTTTTATATGTTGCTGAAGTGTAAGTTAATATAAGATTTGTAAATAATTTTTCTTCACAGTAAAGTTATGAATACATGTAATTATACAAATCGATCTCACAATGAATGTATATTATTTGGGCTGATTAATGCAAATGATATGTTCCTCTGCTTTGGGATCAAACCAGAAACCTCATATTTTCTGGTGAGGTACTCTGTTATCACTAAGTAAGTTGAAGGTAATTATTCCTATTACTGAAGTTTTAAGGCCAACTTGATAGGATATACAGTGCATACCCTGTACAATTGAAGGTCATGTAACAATGATGCCCATTGGAGTCATTCTAATGGAAATCATATAATTGTTAATTGAAATAATTCTTTCAGAGATAACTTTTACGGTTATTCAGTCAACAATAAATAAATCAAGTTTAATGAAGCCATTTATATATTGTAAGTTTTTTTTAACAAATAATGATATATGAAAAAAGTAATTAATATAGATCCATTATTGTATTCACTGATAATGGCTGACCTAAAAAAAACATCAAGAATAATAGGAAGGTGTCCTTCATACTGAAAATGAATGGTTTAGCTGTTGAAACAAACAGTTTCACAACAACACTTGCCTCCAGGCTGTTTTTGGATCATTTGGTCAGGTCTAGAATTGCAATCTTACCTGTAGGGCCGGCATTCCGTACCATATAAGTAACTAGTATTTTATGATGCTTCTCTTGGAAGCTGACTACCAATGTCAACTTTTGTAAAAAAATAAATCATTTCACACGATACGAGGTTTTAAGTAGATGCGGTATATCAATTTGATTTACATGTCATATTTTTGCAGTGGAATTCCAGAAACAGTTCCAGTTTATACAACCAACAGACAGTGTTCTTCGGGACTTCAAGCATTCATGAATGTAGCCGGTTAGTATGAGATCTCTGCTAAATATCCCTGGAAAAAAACATATTTTTCATGATATTCCATGGAAATGCCAGGAAATAGTTATCTGGAAATATTTCATGTACAATTTCCATTCCTGTAGATTTTTTTGTGGGAAGTAGATAGATATGTATTTTAAATTTTTATGGGAAAATCTTTTTAGAAAAGTGCATTGAAATTCCACGAAGTAGTTTTGTTATTCATGATTGATTTTTTTTATTGAAATATATTTTAATATGTTGATTTCTGTTGCAGGTTCAATCAGAAACAACCAATGTGATATGGGCATCGGTGCTGGGTAAACAATTTAATGTGTTTGATTTTTTATTTTGATATATGTATTTCCAATTTTCTCAATAATATTTTCTGAAAATTAGAAGATTTACCTCCCTTGCAGTGTTAAATTGTCATGGGGAAAGCATTTTGTTAATTTCTGAAAAAAAATACAGTTTCTGTATATTTGTGTTTAGGTTCCATAGACATAAAGTATGAAAGTATAAATATTGATTAAATAGTTTGCATGTACGGTAGGTCATTTGAAAAAATCTTCATTTAGTCATTATTACAAATCTACCCAGATGTACAAATAGGTACAGTACTTGCTAGGAAGTATTCCCTAAAAAAGGTGTTCTTTCTCATTAATAATCTACTTGCTCCATGAAACAAATTATAGTTTAGGTTAAGCTAAGTTTAGGTTAAGCATTGTGCTGAGTTCAGAAATAATTGTTTTTTTTGTACATGTAGTACATGAGTGTACATTTATGTAATATTCATCATTTAACACAATCGTTCATAATCTAAGTTAAGGGAATGGGAGGGAAGTAAGAATCAGTCAGTTCTAATTTCCTTCCACAGGTTTGAGCAAATGACTATGAACAAAGGTAATGAAGCCACTTTCAACCCAAATTTGTTTGAGGTAGAGAAAGCCAAGAACTGCCTGGTACCTATGGGGTGAGTTTTCCAAGAGTTATCTATCTTTAGAAATATTATTCCTGGAAGTAATTCTGACTAACTTTGTCAACGATATTATACAAGTAGCACATATTTTAACTTTTGTAGATGGGTGTTTTTTTTAACAATCTGAATTATTTTGGGTCATTTGTTTTGTTAATTTATTTGAATTAATTACTAACAAAATAAAGTTTATGAAATTTTATGGAAAAAATCTTTAAACATACTTAAAGGTTTCGGAATTGGCTGAATGGTTAAGATTTTAATAAAACACCATACTTACACTTAAGTTCAGGAGTTCATCCTAAAACTAAAGGTCATGGGGTCATGAGGCAATTTGAAAAGATTTAAAAATGACAAAAGTATATATTTCGGAATATGTGCAGACATAGATTTTTTTTTCATAAATAATTGACATAGAGAATTCACTGTAGTTAATTTTTGAATATAAAAAAGAAAACAGGCTTTAGCTCGATATGCAAATTATATTTTACAACATTTTAAATTTTACAGTTTAGTATTGATGAATTTAAGTAATCTCAGACTGTTCCTAAAGTTAACCATTTGTAAAGTTTCAGCATCCATTATGATCCTATGTTAGTGATGTATGTTGGTGAGGTGGATAATGAGGTCAAATTATGTGTCTTACTGCTATATTCCGTCTTTTCATATTGCAGAGTTATCTTCTCTTGGGAGCAGGAATTGATTGATACGTCATTTGTTTGTGAGAGTAACGTCATCAATTTTTGCGAAAACAACGGAATTTTCTCACACAAACCAATGACGTAACAATCAATACCTGCTCACAAGAGAAGATAACTCTGCAATACGAAAAGACGGAACAGCTGAGCATTCTAACCACTCCCATTGATGGAAGGTTAATTAACACTGATATTTGATTAACTTTCGGCCATTTAATGGAAGGCCTGGGAGTTGATGAACAGAGGCAAATTTGGTAGAAACAGTATTATCCTCATGTGACTTTGGGAAATATTATTTCTATTTTAAGTGTTTTATTTACAAATTTCCAGCATTACATCGGAGAATGTCGCAGAAAAATACGGACTTACAAGAGAAGAGCAGGACCAGTTTGCACTGACATCACAGTTAAGGTCAGTTTCAAGGTCACTACAGATTGTGTAGAAACAATATTTACACTTTTCTTTATTGACAGATCAGGTAATAAGGATATATATATCACAATAACAAAATATTGCCAGAGACCTGGTTTATGGTGTCAGGATACTGAAAGATCTCGGACATCTATCACTCTGGGAACTTCCTTGTGAAATCTGTTACCTTATCAGTTGATTGTAGACAGATTTATATAACAAGACCAGTGAAATGTTTATATTTGAATTTGTGATGACCTTCGTACAATATTTCACCACCGTCCAACAAATGGTGTTTGTAACATTTAGTTAATGAAAATATAAGAGATGAAGGTGACAGAGTATATACAATTTAATAATAAAAAAAAAAAAAATGAAAATATTACAAACTTTTCACTGGTTGTGCTATATGAACGCTTAAATTAAAATTTATGTACCAACCCAAAGAAGATGTTTTAAATTATCACTTGATGTTCTAAACAGGGCATTTAAGGCACAAAAAGAGGGGCTATTCAAAGATGAGATTGTTCCCGTTCCCACGACAATCAAGGACAAGGATGGCAATGAAACGAAGATCACGGTAAGCCTCCACAATATAAGTGATGTACCAGTTATGTGATACAATAATATACCTTCAGAGAGAAAGCAACTCATTCTACGGTCCTAGGAAACACAATCTCATGGAAGAGAAACGATTGCAAAAATACCATACTTCATTATGAGAAAAAAAATCGTGCAATGTTTTAAAGCTAAAATTAAAATATCAGAGCCATCTAACTAAATCAATTGTTTCATGATAGATAAATGGAAAGAATGATTGAATACTATGTAAGGTCTTGTACGTCAGATGTGTTTGTTTCCTCTTTATTCATGGTAAAACTAACAGGTCACTGTGAAAAAATAATATGGCCTGGGGGCTCTGAACTGATTACATGTACTTTTACCTTACAATGTGTATATTGTGTCAGTGTTTGGTAGAGTTATCTCCCCTGTCATTCTAAAAGTACTAAAAGTACATTTGTCAAGATGTTGAAGATACCATTCTTGATGAAATCCCGTTTGACCTTTTCCAGGTAACAAAAGATGATGGTATTCGTCCCACCACCCTGGAGGGATTACTCAAGTTAAGACCAGCATTTAAAAAGGGGGGCACAACAACAGCAGGTGAATCTTTTTCCATTTTTCTCCGAGAAGTAAAAGAACGTTTTGCTTGTTTTATCATGTTTTCTTGAACTGAAGGAACTTATTATTGTGTGAATGATTAAGACAGAGTTCAGCATTACCAGTGTAGTACAAATTAATGTAGCATAGTTGTAAGTGTTAAGGATATATGCTAGGTGCCTTTTTTTTAATTTTTCATCCTCCTTTTTAAAAGAATTCCACACCAAAAATATCTGTTAAAACTTTCATATAATTATTTATTATATACAGAGTTGTACCCCTTTGTTTACAAAGTGTCACATTGTCTGTGGCACATCACATACAATGTCACCTACAACTGCTAAATTTTGTATGTTAGAACCTATTGGGATGGCTGAGTGTAGTGTACTGTAGTTGAGACAAGTTCCCTATTATATTATGTATATCTAGTAAATGTCCTTTGTTCAGCACTGAAACCAAAGTGTGTGCAAGATGTTGGGGCCTATTAATTGCTCAAAACACTTAACCGTGTTAAGATATGTCTCATATCCCTATTTTATATGCATGCATAATTGGGACCCAACAACATTTCATTTTATTTTAAATACTCCTTTCCATGTACTTATTGAACAAGAAGGTATGTTGTATCCGATTGGTAGTTAACCCAACCTTAATTCCCTACCTTTAAGGTAACAGCAGCCAGGTGAGTGACGGAGCTGCAGCTGTCTTACTGGCACGAAGATCTGAGGCTGTCCGTCTCAACTTACCTATCCTAGGGGTCCTGAGGGGATACGCCGTCGGGGGTTGTCCCCCAGAGCTCATGGGCATCGGACCGGCTATCGCAATCCCGATGTTATTATCGAAGACAGGTACATGTATAAGCACTTCTATCTAATATGGAAGCGATAGTAAAATTTCTTTTTGTGATAATATTTTTCTCCCACATTTTGCAGGTTTATTCCAGTTTTCACTAGGACAAAAGATTGAAAGAATGTTTCCCCACTATGAGAGTAAGACAGAAAAATCTCAACCCAAGGTGTACAGGTAGGATTCTTTATGTCTAGCCCAAGGCTTTGCTGTGGGCCATACATTAAGGAATCTTACCTTAGGGTTGAGATTTTTATGTCTTACTGCCAAAGTTTGGAGAAATGATTTTTCTCTGACATAAAATCCTAGTGGTAATTTCATGTAATGCAAACATTGATTTCATAATTTCCAGTAATCAGAATCAACTTCCATTGTATGCTGTTGTTGATATGACATCATCACATTGTTGACGTTTTACAATTGTTTGACAGGACAATCCCCTGTCTTTACCCCAGGGTAAGACTTTCTCTGACTGGAAATGTGGATTTTTATGTCTAATGAGGGAGAAAATCCTGTTTTTTTCTTACCTGATGAAAGACTCCTCATCACATGCTATCATTCTGAAAAGGTCACCATCATCACTAGCAACATAACCATAGTCGCCTCATCAATTTTGCGGATATTTCATTATGATGGCTGAACATTTCAAATAGTTCTTATGGTAGGAAAGTTTCTAAGTTAAATTAATTTCTAAAACTGTATAATTTCTGATCCTCTTATATATAGTACCTCCCTTTATCCATGAACAGGTATGACCACGGAGGAAATTGAAATATTTGAGATAAATGAAGCCTTTGCCAGCCAAGCTAAATACTGTGTAGACAAGTTAGGGATCCCTTCAGAGAAAGTGAATCCCAAGGGTGGAGCCATTGCCCTGGGTCACCCCCTCGGTTGTACTGGTGCCAGACAGATCGCTACTCTTCTACACGAACTCAAGAGGAGAGGGAAAAAGTAAGTTGTTTACACTGTGTTATATGATAACAATTTCACTCAAGGACTCAAAATCAAGATTTATCAACTCAATGATACTTTAAATTAGATCTTTTATTTCAATGTTTTTATGAACTTGTGCAAGAATTGGAGTTTTTGTGTGTTAATTATGTTTTGTTTTCATGGTTCAAAATCTATGAAATGTTACCGTTTCAGATTTTCCCTCATTAAGCTTACAATGCTTTAAACAAATGGATACAAGATCTACTTGTACATTATTGTGTCAAGCTTAAATTATCCTGAATGTCACATTAGGTAGGGAATTTTCACTATTACATAGCATGAAACCTGTCTCACTTCGTGCATAACATCAGAGAACCCCATTGGAGATTTTCATAAATACAGTGATATGAATCTCGTCTGGAGATGACTAAAGTGGGACTTGGTCAGTATACTATAGCCACTGATTAAGTAAATCAGTTGGTTAGAGTGACCATTTGATATTGGAGGTCAATGGTTCGAATCCTGAGATGGGCTTGTTGCACGTTTACTCTCAGAACACTGTTCCTGCTCCATATTTACCCATTTTCCATCCTCGATTTCCAGGGGTTATGCTCAATTTCACTCTCTTAGCAAAATTGAAAGCACACGGCTAGCTATTTGATTGATGTCAGGTGAAAAAACCTGACAAATCACTAGGCTGATACTTGTCCTTTGAAGTTAAGAAGGAGCAACACCCGACTTCAAAGCCAATAAGTTTCACAGTTATGCGACCTCAAGATTCTTTTGATGAACATCAAAGGATCAAAGGAGTCTTATTGTCTCGTCCACAAGGTGCTGCACCCTGAGCCTTCAATGTTGCTATGACATATTCCAGTGGTGCAGAGAGCAAAAGTGAGCTTTGCTCCTGGATATCGAGGATGTCCTTTTTCTTGCCGGTGTAGTTCAACAGTAAGATTAAATGTTGTTCTTAGCAATGTAGTTAATTGTTTTCCAATTAGATTTATCCTTGTTCTTGAAGACGTAGTTCTTATCCAATCAGATTACGTCAAGTTATTAACCAATCACACACTGTTACAGGTCGTATGGTGTGGTTTCAATGTGTATGGGTACCGGGATGGGAGCTGCCGCCATGTTTGAATATCCAGGACCGGCCAAGTGAACTGTCAGCCTGAAAAACTTCAACAAGCAACAAACAGCGTCTGTGATTAGAACTAAGTCAATATTCGGAGAGTGAAATCAGAGTTCGGCACTCGATAAACTGAACAATAACCTTGGTTATATTCCGTAACTACAGTGTTGATTTATACTTTGTCATGTAAACAGAATGTTACAATAGAGAGATATTACTAGCCAGAGGTAGAAATTAATTGAGAAAGGGAATCAGACATTCTGCCAAGATATATGAATTGTAGATTTGGTGTTCAAGTAGGGAACACCATTGGCTTCATAAAGGCGTACACACTCGTGTTTTGATAAACAAGGTACTAGGATAACGTAAGCAAAGTTTCTAGCAGTGAGACTGATGGGTGAAGGAAAATAATTGAAATAACTGTGGTGCTATGATTAATTTGGGACCTTTGTGTTCAACGTATGATCAACTTAATGAGGACTTACATCGAGTAAACAATATTTAAATGTTGGAATTCAAGCTAAAGCTTCATAGCTATACAAGGTGATCACCTGCAGACATGAAACACAATCATTTGTAAATCTATAGGCATCTTTAGGACACGTTAAGCTTACCATGGTTTGATTAACTTGGCCTGGATGTTTAAGTGGATTTATATGTATAATTGAAATACCTGTGCAACTTGTATGTGTGTGGATGAAGGGCAAAGAATCAACGAGTGTACTGAAAGATGTGTATCAGAAATTGTTAGATAATTCATGTCATTCCAATAGACGTACATTTTTGATATTTAATTAACCTGTAACAAATGTATTGATGATCATGTATGTCTTGCGCTAAATTAAATATGTCATAAATGTCATCATTTAACGTTTTGATTTTGTGATGATAGACAATATATCAATGATATATTACCTTGTTTCATGTTATGTATAGACACTTCTAAATGTAAAGAATTTCTGTCGACCTTCTCCATTCATGGACATCCGGAGGACATCTCTGTCAACCTTCTTCATTCCTGTACATTAGGAGGACATCTCTGTCAACCGTCTCCATTCCTGTACATTAGGAGGACATCTCTGTCGACCGTCTCCATTCATGTACATTAGGAGGACATCTCTGTCAACCTTCTCCATTCATGTACATTAGGAGCATCTCTGTCAATCTTCTTCATTCATGTACATTAGGAGGACATCTCTGTCAATCTTCTCCATTCATGTACATTACGAGGACATCTCTGTCGACCTTCTCCATTCATGTACATTATGTGGACATCTCTGTCGACCTTCTCCATTCATGTACATTAGGAGGACATCTCTGT